ACACACACACACACACACACAGAGCCAGTTAAAACTTACCAATTTTTATAAGGGATACAAACTGTTCCACACCTTATACCACCTGGAGTTTTAGAAAAAGTGGTGGCAATCAGATGAGGAGTTGACAACCCTAACCTTATCACCAATTTGATGGGGCACACACTTCAAATTAAAACTTGCAAAGCATGGCCCAGAAATCATATTTGCAACTGAAAATCAAACACAAACTTTCTTAAGACATTCCCACTGAAGGACTGAATTTGGAGCCTCAATGTTTATAAGTTGCCCTTGTGTCACAAGTTGGATACTGTTGCATTGTGGGAATAACACAAAACACCTTTATGCTTGGTCAGTCACAAATATAAGAACTAAAACTAAACATATCCCCAAATGTGCACATTTTTCCAGCAGCTTTGAAGGGATAAGTAGATAAATCTGTCACCATCTTATTAAAGACATTGTTAAATAACAACTTATGTTCTGTTGGAAGAACTATCATAGCTCTTGTCCAATACTGGATCTCCTGGTCCTAGGTTAGGGTTCAAGAGCTATACTCAGATAAGTGAATGTACTTCATAAGCATGGTACATTGGAAAAATAAACAAGTAAATGTGCACACAATATTCCAAAGAGGGGCTTACATGATGGTCCTGCAAATCTGAGAACTGTTTCAATACGGAACAAAAAGGTATTATATTGAACTGAATAGAATTTATTCTTGACAATATTTGTTATGATGGAGAACAAATCATTATTACTAAACTGAGCATGTGTTAAACTCCCATAGTCTTAAATAGTGTCTTAGATACTTGAAGGAAAAAAAAGAGCCCCACCATACAGTAGAATGATTTCCAGTATCATAAGCAACATGAACATGAGTAATGGTCCTACTTTTAATTCGTATTGAGCAGTCCTTGGTCTTAGAATACACATTCCTGCATAGTTCCACAAAGTTCCACATAGTTCCACAAAGTGTGATGACTATCAGTTCAGACTGTGAAGCTGTCAATCATAGATATTTATCGATCATGGATATCATGGATTTGTATGAACTTAAGTAATCCTCACGATGCAAAAAAATCCTGTGATATCCATTCCTCTGGTAGTTATTGTTCTTAATGATATGTAATGCATGTAATATTGATTTTATTTATGCATAACCCTCTTGCCTTCTCTAACCTTTCCTTTTTTCATTTGTTCATAGGCATGCAATACTCCATGCCAGGGGGTGATACTGGTATATCTACTTCCACTTTGTGTAATGTTATAAATTAAGGTATCAATAGACTAATTACTATGTGGACAGCTTTCAGAAATAAAAATTGCTATGTAAATCTTATATACACAATGTGGATTTAGGGTGATATTTGCTCACTATGAAACATGAACAATTATCTAAAGGATTCTGAAAATCCAAGATAAAATTTTCTGGTGTTTAAATAGAAGAAAATTTTCATCATTAATTAGCTTTTATTTTTCTGGAACTTATTTTGTTGATGAGATATTTATGTTTGTATAACTATAATGTATTCAGGAATTTAATGGTCAGCACAGTCACATTCTTTTATCATTATTTAGTTTGCGATGGAATTTAGTTGACTTTGTGATGATTTCATAAACACTTTCAACAGGTGATAATGATTAAATAGTAGTATTTATCTGTTCTTTGTTCATTTTTTTAGAAATCATCTTGGTTCTCATTAAGGACTACCTTCATTCTGGAACTGACATTGAATACCAAACAGATGGAAGGTTCTTCAGTCTGGGACTTTTCAGTCAAAGACCAGAGTAATCAAAAACATTCTTGATCTTCAATATGCTGATGACTGCACCATCCTTGTGCACACTGAGGAAAACCTCCAGACTGTGCTGGATCATTTTGGAGAAGCCTACCAAACTTTGGGCCTCCTTCTCAATATACAGAAGACCAAGGTTCTCTATCAGCCTGCCTCAGGCCATGAATGTGACCCTGTGACAGGTGTGCCTCTTCGGGGTCCGTCCACTAGTGACTCCGCAACACTGGTTATGGGTCAACCTCCTGCCTTCTCGTCTGCCACGCCTTGTTGTTACTTGCTTAATTAGAGGATGTTAATTAAGTGGGAGGCTGCCCATTTTCTGCCCCAATGCCTGGGAGGCTATCTGTGGCTCCTTTCCTCCCCTTACACCGCAGCCCAAGCCTCACGGATGTACCTGACTTTGTTCGGATCTGTTCCACTCTCACAACCTGCATGCCACCGGCGCCCTGGCTTGTCTCACAGCCTGCACCACACAGGCGCTTTGGCTTGTCTTTCGCAACTGTGGCCCTCTGGCACTCGTCAATCACTGCTCCCTTGCTTTGGGGCTACTCACGCTGCCCCCTCTCTGGGGCTTCTCACATTGCCCCCTCTCTGGGGCTTCTCACACTGCCCCTGCTCTGGGGTTTCTCACACTGCCCCCTCTCTGGGCTTCTCATGTTGCCCTGGGGCTCAGGTGGGTGTAGCCGTACCTGGCCCCAAATCTTCCCCTCGGGGTCTCGAACCCCCTGTGGGCCTCAGGCGGCCTCAGCCTTCCCTGGCCTCTGATTCTTTACTCCCCTTTTCAGGACTGGGGTCAGTACACCCCCGAATGCTGCACCCTCTCTGGTGCCAGGGTCCCCACACTACTGTAGAGCTCCTATGAGGCCTTCTCCAACCCCTAATAACTTCACCTGGTCCTCCGGTCTAAATAGTGAACATAAAAAAAAACATGCCCCCAAGCTATAACATAAAATCTAAGCTGTCCAGCTAAAACCACATTCAGTTACTACCAGAGAAGTCTCCACCCCATAACAGCAATCAGGAGTGGCTCATGAAGTCAGGCTTCTCCTCACTATTTGCTCTGGCAGAGCTCCTTCTCCCTTGGCTGCTGGTGGGAGACTGCCTGCCTGGCCTTAGCCTGGGGTTATATGGAAGCCAGGCCCTGCCCCTTCTGGTCAGCTGACTCCCACTGGTTACCCTGACAACCCGCAGCTGGAATCCTTACTTATTGCTCCACAA